GACTTTAAGTCAGATGAACCATATCAAGTCCTTTATTTTTAATCCAAATCTCATTCTATTGATCAAAACAAATTAGTGTGCCAATCTAAAATATATACAGTTATTGAAAAAACCAAATAGGTGAGAGAAATTATGATACGTACAATGTTGTCTTTATTCATTGGAAGTTACAAGGCTATGGCTTGTTTACACTTGCCCTCCTATTGAACTATACAAATTTTGTACATTTTTCTAAAATCACATGTTGTAATAGGTGGAGCTATAATGTTATCTACTCTTCCGGGATTTATTGCCTATCCTGAGTTGTTTCCACGTGTATATTGTTACGTCTCATATGCTTAAGAATTGGGAACTGAGACTCGGAGAGAAATTATTAATCTACTAGACTAAGACCAAATCGCAGAAACCAGAGGGGAGTCAACGAATGGATCTTGAGCCCAGAATAGACGAAAGCCAGGCGTCCACGTGCGTGACTGAGCACACGGGCGGTGGGCGGAGCGCGCTCTGAGGCGAAGCTGTAACAGGCGGAGTGAACTTCGGCGGCGGATGGGTCTTTCGAATAATCGTTCAGGTCTATGGAGTGCGTGACTGCTTTTTTTTTTATTCGTTATCTGTGTCAAGTTTTAGCGAAAGAACTTGCCACTTACTTCACACACCTTTTTTCATGTCTTCCATCATAAAACTCCTAGTTATCACCAAGGAATCCTTCAGTCTTGTCGCCCATTTTTCGCCCAAACGCAGCATAGAGCTAGCACAGTCATCCACAAGTATATCAGGTATATACTAGCGGAGCGCATCAATGCCATTCACAACTTTGCATCAGAGATAGTCTACTTTGCAAGGTAGTGAGTCTCCGGTTCAGCCATCGTCGAGTTCGCATACGCTTCGCGACTGAATGTAGGTGATATTTGTTCAGTGTTTTGCTTGAGCAGGCTTGTAGCCTCCCAACCTTTCCAATGCATTCGACAATTAGAGTAAAATCCACTAGCGCTCTACATCGTAAGCGAGTCCAGTGTTCCACATAAACCTAAGTGAACCTGATAGCCCTATCTACAATTGCCCTAGCAGAATACTCATGCCATAGCTTGTCGGATGAGCAAGATGGTTGAGTATATCCTTTAAAGTTCCGTCCCGATAGCCGCACACATACAACCATCGCTGTTCTGACTCTAATGCCCACGATCTGAATGAGTTTCTAATTCAGACATTCAATATCTTGATTCGTCATGTGGGTAGGACAACTCGTCTGGGTGTCTCTTATCTAGGCCTACTTTTCACAGGTTCGAACAGCACGTTTTGTCTGTCCGCTAGTAATGACTCCACTGCCCAATCTGGATGTGCAGTCTAAGACACTTAGTCTGCATAGTACCTCAGGTGGTTCAGGTTTTTCTCATCCTAGCTACAATGTTCATGTTTTCGTACGCCCCTACTTGTACTTGTTGACCCAATCAAACAAGATCCAGGTGAGAACAAGCCGAAATCATGGTCAGTACGGTGCTCTTGGGTCATTATTTCTTTGACAAGGGCTCCGTACAGGCACAGTTAATACGATCCAGTGTCCAAATTAAAGGTATGAAGAGGAGGATGTATGTTGTTTTCTCCAAATGGTTGAAAAGCCACACGGCCCTCCGTTTGCTCAAGATGCCCTTCTGCATTCCGAATTGCCATAGTCTTCGTAGCGTTACAACACTGCAGCTGCTTTCGCTGTTCTGAAGCAATGGAATAGATTTGTAATTACAATAGTCACGTAATCAGCACTTCTTTACCAATAATCCGCCATAACATCAATCATGTACGATATAGTTCTCCCACCCACACATGGCACACTTAATTTAGGCCAAAAAGTCCACATCATGTTAATACATTGCCAAATTGGCAATTTTCCATTTGCATGTGAACCGGTACATTATGCAACTTATTGGTCATTTGTGTTTGGAAATGGGCTAAAGCGCTGATGTTGGCATGGTGATCACACCACCCATCCATTCACCCTATAGCCAGCTCTTTAGCTTGTCTACATTTACTGACCCATATTTGCGATAGTGGACTCTAGCTGAGACTATACTGTGAAAGCCTCTGATTGGAATTGGTGTTCAGGTGTCAATCTTAGATGCACACAAACTTAACCGCTTTTCTCGCATTGCCTACATTCATCGATGACTCAGCACCGTAGTTTGTGGAACGGTTATAAAATCATCATTCTCTGCACTGTGCTCACGCCATTCAGTTTGGTCGACCTCTGTCCGCAACATACACTGTATATGAATTGCTCTCGGAGATGGGTTTGTTTTGAACCCAATGATAATAATTAAAGTAGTATTTTTAGTGTTCCTAACGTGCTGACTTGAGGAAATTTTATGGACATCTACTTCGAATTTCAGAACAGGGTACTAGAGTAGAACCATTTCAAGAGCTCAAGAATACTCTGAATAATCACCCACAAATAATGTGCCCATAGTCGGCATAGAAGGTGAACGATAGCGAAAAACTCTATAGATAGTCACGCAAGGATGCATGCAGAGGAAAGTGTCATATCTCTAAAGCAAAAGAAAACTCCGAGTTTCGTGGGCTACGAATTAGGGAGGCGAGCAACTCGGTAAGAACTCAGAGCGTCAATGGCTCAGCAGGTTCCTCATAACTATTGCCCCGATGTGGATCCCAAGATGCGAAAAAAAAGGAGACCGGATAGCCCCACGAGTTTACCCCCATAACCTTGTCTGTCCAAGAATACTACGACAGGAACCTTGTTCTAAAGAACATATCTAGTTTTTCGAAGCTGTGGATATAACTCAGCACTTAGCAATCATGGCCCTATGTTCTCTAGATATCGATTTCTACGATGCTTCATGGCTTCCAACTTAGGATGACTCCTTTTCATAACGGTGAGGAGTTTACTTGCCGTGACAAAAATACACATCCATTTCGACGCACATTTGTACCAAGACGGAGACACAGATTTGTGCAATAGGCAACAGTGTCTCTTGACCTAGATGGGCCTCATCTTGCGTATTAGGCAGGAATCGAGTGTCTGGTGCATTTAACAAGATTTACGCGCACAATATGCACCACCTAACATGGGTCTCAGCTCCCCCATATCATCTCAGGGATAGCACCTTGGGCAGCTTTGCTGCTGACTCCTGGCTGCACCTTTCTCATCTTCTACTGTATTGGCGTTTTGCAAAGTTCTCTCTTTTCCATTTTCTACTTCCGAAATAAGAAACTAAATACTTAACTGGCGTCGCCAACACCTATTCCATGGAGGACATGCAGTAACGAGCAACTTGGAAGTTGCTGGACCTGAGGTACTCGGTTGACATGTGTAATAAGTTGTAACGCACCTCAATTAATTCGGTATTCTTCTGTGTAAGAGAGAACTTTGTTATCACGTTGATCCTAAGCAAGTCTTGTTATATTTAGTTACCCTGAAACCAATATGAACTTGAGCCATTTTGACCACGAACGGGTGGGTTGCCACTTAAGAATAATTTATTAGCAGTCGACTCAGAAAGTCTGAAATCCTGGCGTACTTTGATATTGTGATCTTCCATAACCTTTATTATATCGTACAGTAGGTTTTACACGTTGAAGCGCTGTAAATCGAAACGAAATCATGAGGGCCTAAATGTAATTTTAACTAGTAGAGGGCAATTTTGTAATTTTACTTAAATGGGTTTAAGTGAGATTACATGACTCTCGGCCTCTCTCTTTTCCTCAGCTGAAATCACTCTCTCTCCATTCTCTCTTTACACTCTCGAACTCAACTCTCTTTCTACCACCGTGAGAGAGAACCACCCTAATTCCTTCACAAATCGAACTACAAAAACTCGAAATCTTAATCTCTAGGATGAGAGGAACCTAGCCACACCATTGCATGTGCCATTTGAAGGATATAGGCAAGGAGCCTATTGGGGAAGGAGGCTCTGCTTACCTGCTAGTGGACCCCTTTGAAAAACTAAACATTTTTACACTATATAGATGTGTACAAGACGAAGGGCAACAAAGAAGATATCAAAGGGCATTTTAGCCATTACACTGCTCATGAACAGTGCTTTTCTACCGGGTTTTAGTATATAGATAATATGTCTTATATGCGGATGCATATTACTATGTTGGTCTTTGATGAGACTTATGCTGATATTTGATGATATCTTGAGATCATTGGTGATTTATTTTCACCACATGATCTCTTATATATGTTGTATAACTATCCTCGGCCACAGATTATTTGCAAGTGATATTTTAACCTAGTAGACACTAGCATTATTGATTATTACCAGTAGTGAGTTTAGCTAGTTGATGCTAGCATACCTTGCATGCTATACTTAAGCTAGTGGACGCTAGTATGATTGATTGATTAAAGGTATGATTTCTGAATTATCGATTGAATGCTTTCGATTATGGGAATTGGTGTGATTTCTGAATTTTTGATTGAATGCTTTCGTTATCCTTTACTTTGTTTGCCTTAATGGCAATGGTGGTTGCATTCAATACCGGCACATATGTGGTACCGAGTGGTCGTTCGCCAGGACTTGCTGTCGCTACTTGTGTGCTAGGATGCCTTTTCTTCTTTGCCTTGGCTAAATCCATGAATATTCCGGTCGCCAAGATACTAGTATTAGATGTGCCAAGAATAATGTTCAGGCATAAATTTCCTCGTTCTTTTTCATTCAAGTACATGAGATGCATATTACCATGGGATTACCCGCATCATACTTTCAATGCGATATGAACAAAATTGGCACAGCGCTCAATTAATTAAGAGCGTTCCGGTCAATTCTACTAGAGAATAAATAATATTTGTCGTACCTTTCTTCTCATTTGTGAGTTTGAGTTCGCATTGAAGTCTTGCGCTCCAAGTATCATATTTCTTTATTTTCTCTTGGATCCACTATTAATTCCATCATGGGCATGGTTGTCGGTGATCGCATAGGCATTTGATTACCAAACATAAAAAGCATCACATTATTTTGCTGGATTTTAATAAATTACTTCAAAGAAAGGGTTTTTCAAGAGGTTAGTTTTTTAAGATAAACAATAAACTCAATTTACACAGACGACCAAAATAGTACTGCACATCACTGATACAAATTAAATGAGCAGGTAACAATCCTAAGTTCATGACTAAAGATATCGTGAAGTAATAGTCAAAACAAAACCACGTTAACATGTGTATGAAAACTTGGCAGGACAGAAATCATCTAACCTCTAGAACTTGGCAAGTCGACATACAAACTTGCTAACCCTGGTCGATAATATCAACCAAGGAATAATTCCTACCTGCAGAGAATCAGAAGCAATATTCAAACCTTTATTTAAGATGATTTATATCGCATGCTAAACAAAGACCATCTCTTTTCTTTCTGACCCAAGATAAGTAGTATGCAAACATCAGCAGCGTTCAACACGAAAGTAACAGTGTACCTAGTGTTGTTTACATCATTTACTTGCTTACAAGAACACAATATGGCACCTAAACGATATGAGAATTAACAATCAAGTAATCTCAACTTTATTTACCATAACAAATATTTTTACAACTCCTCCAGCCCTCCATGATATCATCTTGCTGAAACAAGAACAAATCCAAAGTATAACTCGCTCATTTGCCTAAACATAGGCTTTTACAACTTTTCCAGCCCCGCATGTCCAGTATGCACAACATCTTGCCTGCACAGAACAGTACCTTGTCAGAACATAAACTGTCTTTCAAAATAATAAATTTAAAAAGAAGAGCTGGACTTCGGTACAAATACCAACTCCTTTTTACAGGCCCTCCAGATACAATCGCAAGAAATGGATGTAAACAGAGAAATCTTAAGAACCAGGTAACAGCACAACATTTAGAAGCACAACATATGTCCAACCTGTATAGAAATAAGAAAATAAGCTCAGGCTTCCAACTTTAGCATTTAACTTACAATCAACATAAAATTACACAAAGTCTATGAAAAATCTCCTACAAGTAAATTAAGCAAAACAAATCTGGTCGTATTGTAAATCTTTCGACCATGGAACCAACTACTTACCCAAGAAAATTCTGCATAAAATATTTATTATGATTCAAATTATTAAAATAAATATCTGAAAAGTGTATAATATACAAACAAATATTGACCCAACTTTAAATATAGTTTACCCTCTGTGGGACGAAAAGGATACATACAAACCCCAAATAGTTATGTATATTTGCATTATTTCGTATAAAAACAAATGGATGAGATTTGCCCCAGAATTTAAGTTATTTGAAATATATGCAATAAATTTGCAAATTTTCCTTGTTTAGCAACTGCAAACTCCGAGAAAACGCAGACTGCGCAACTGCTCGACGAAATGTGGATTCCAACTTGAAGATCACCACACTGCTAAAATCCAAACTACTCGAAAAGCTACTTTGGCTACGGCAATGCAAGGCTCAAACTTGCCAGCATTAAAATTCCTTTTGAAAAATTGGGAAAATATGATTGACCAATAAAAATCACTCACTGCGACGAGTAGCTTGCCTCCTTTAAGATGTCTTTAATTTCTCCCGCAATCGGGTGCCGTAGCACTCTTCACTCCCTGCCAACACAAAATCACACAAAAAACACCCAAAAATATAGTTTAATTTCACACAACATTGCAGTTAAAGCATCAAACAAATGATTAAGAGCTTAAATTCGCACCAAACTACGATTAAATTGTTTGAATGCAAGTGAAAAATCGTTGAGCAAATTACCTTCTTTAACTGCTCTAGCTGGAGAAGAATTTGGAAGCGAGCGACGATAATGAATACAATCGGAGCTGATAACAAGCTCCGGTTGCTCCGGTTTAGGTTTCTATTACCTCTCCCAGTCTGATTGTTTCCTTTACCGGGTCTATTCCCTACTGCTGGGAGCGTAGTAGCTGCTTGCAAGCACTCAAAAATCTAAAATCAAATAAAAATCCACGGAGGAAAATTCTAAATTTCTCCACTGCATTACTCAAAGGAGCTTCTCCTTCAAGATGTGAGGCACCTAACACTCTTTTCACAATATTAATTCACAAATAATTTAAGACCTTTGATTCGCCCCCTCTGATTGATTGCTTTTTCTACGGAAAAATTTTGGAAAAATTACCTCTTTAACTCATCCACAGGAGAAGAATTGGAAAGCGACGACGATCATATAGTATTCTGCGAACAAGTTCCGGTGCTCCGGCAGTATTTCTACTACCTCTCCCATGTCTGAAAAACACCTTATCGTTCGGATTTTCGATGCTTCTCTGCAACCGGGTAAGTCTACAGACCCAAGTTCTAAAAATCCAGTAACCCCTAGCCAGTTGGGATAAACCAAATGGTCCAATCAAATAGAGCCCTATTCCAAATCTGATTCATGACTATAGTTCTTGAGTTGGATTTTTTTATAAATATCGTATAATTGAATTACGGAATAAATGGTTGAGATTCAAAATCCTAGTAAAAGTTTGACAGTTAAAACATCCGTAGAAATGAATAATACATAGCATTAAACCCAAAATTTTAATTTTGTTTAATATATTTTCAGTTGTATCGAATTTGATCATTGTAGTTTCCTAGTTGTTGCAATATGAAAATATCCCTAACATAGTTTGTTTGTCGTGCGAAATTATCACGTGTGTTCCACAATGAGAGTAAATTTGACATATTTCATAAAGTCATTCCAATGAGTTATCAAAACTCTAAGGGCTGGTTTGGTATTGTTGTGCTTTGAAAAAAAAGCTGCTGTGAGAATAAGCGGCTGTGAAATAAATCAGCAGAGTGTTTGGTAAACTTTTTTGGTAAAAGTGCTTTTGGAAAAAAAAAAAAAAGTAGTCTGATAGTGGGTCTTTTCATTAAATGAGCATTGTAGCTCCGTGTGCTTTAAAAAAAAGCCAGTTTTCCAAAGCTGCAAATAGCAGCTTCAGCTTTTTCCTTTGATTTCAGCTTATTCTCACAGCATCTTCCAAAATAAGCCTTCTTTTTTTTTCAGTTTACCAAACACCTAAAATCCTCACAGCTTTTTTTCATGGGTGTTTTTTTTTAAGCACCTCACTCCCAAACCACCCCTAAGTCTTGTGTAATAGACTGTAGCGGATGTAGTCCTGTTTATAATCTCAGGAAATATATTAAACAAATTGCAGTGGACGTAGCCCTGTTATGGGCAGACCACTACATATTCTTGTGTTCATTTTACTACAGTTGTTGATTATATTCACTATGTTAACCTTACGATATGTGAGCATGCACACCCATTTGAGTTTGACTTGCAAATTTTGAGCGGTAACGATAGTATTTTCTGATGGTGTCTCTACTTTCAAGGGAGGAGGATCCTTCAGATCAATGTTATTCCAGAAGGGGAGGATCAATAAAATCCAAATCGTTTGAAATTAGATCTTACAGCAAAAAAAATTCTTTACTTTTTCACGCACAACACTCACATCTCTGAATTCTCTCACATCTGATAAGCTCATATTTATATATATTTTACATCAAATTCACTTGTCTTTTCTTAGTTAGTTCCTTATATTTTTTAGCTATTTACTTTGTTTTTGTGTTTTGTGGGATTTGTCAAGCAAAGAAAAGAAAAATAGCACAAGTGGGATTTTAAGTAACAAATTCGTCTAAACAGTCTATGTAGATCAGCTGACTTTGGAAGCAAGTTACGAACAGCTCAGAATGAATTAGAGAATGAGCCTTATATGCTTGGAAAGTTACCGATGTCTATTTTCTGAAGCATTTCATGGATTGCTAATATCATTTTTCTGAAAGAAGTTATGGCCGTTTTAACACTAAAAAGGTCACAAGAGACAGAGCAGTTTGTAACTGCAATGAAAGCAATAAACTCAATAAATCTAGCAGCCAAAACTGATGCAGTCAAGAACAAGCCAGCTGACACTTATTCAAATATCAGAGGAAATGGAATTAAAGATGAGGATTAAGTGGGAGTAATTGGCATAAAGGTTGCCCAAAGAGTTACAATTGTTTTACCATTTTCTCTCACTTATTGTCATCACGAAATTGCTATTAGTGGGGGGAGTTATGGAGAAAAAAAGAATGTAGCAATAATTGGTTTAAAATCAGCGTTAGGGGAGGAAATAAAGGGCAGTTTTTATAGAAATAATTTTGAAAAAAAAAGAAAGAAAAAAAAACAAGGCTGCAGGTTGCAACGAAAAGGAAGGAAAAAAGGCAAGGCAGCAGCGTTGGGGAAGGAAGAAAAGGAAAGGAGGATATCTTGGCATTCTCTTCTTTCGGTTTTATCTTCTCAAACTCATGTCTTTCTTTTGGTTTTATTTGAGAATTATGTGTAACTAAATTTTTAGTAGTTAGGGGCTGTTTTGAAGCCCCGAATATGATTGTAAGTTTGTTATGACATTTTGTTTGAATTACTTTTATGAAATGATGAAAATTGGTTCACTACTTGTCTCAGTGATGAATTATTTATGTGTTTTCTACAGATGCATACTTAGTAAGCATATCTATGATTCTAATGCTATGAATATTTGTGTGCCTGCTCTTGTCGAATGAGGACCTACATATGTTCTAGAGTAGTACTTGTTAATTGCGATTAACATGTGAACCAATTTATAGGATAAGTAAGACAACGCCAGTACTTACGATGCATTGTGATGACTCAAACTCTTTTCGTTCTTAATGATTTCTACTTGTTAAATCTATGAACACGTCATTCTAGATTGCTTGTTAGGGACTAAGTTAAGTTGAAAACGACATTCTCTTAACATACTACATAAGAAAGAGTAATAGATTGAGTTTTAACATTGAGCCAACTTGAGCATCTTCATTCGGAAATAAAAGGAATTTGAATGAAACATAACATGTTTGCATGATTATTTGGTGGTGGATAGTAATTCCCCTAACTTGTTTGTCTTAATTTGTGAACTACTTGAAATTTGTTTCTGTCCTGTTTTTGTTCGATTTAATTTAAATAGTAAATCATCTCCAAAAATTTGTGTGATTGTAGCTCTGTGTGTCTAGTGTCTTCATATAAAATTTCGTAGACTTTAGATAAGTGTAAGTTAGTCTAATAATTATTTTTCGATAGCTGGTCAGTAGGAACAGCAACCCAGTTTTTGTGACATTTTAAGTAGTTAGATAAAACAATCTTCTACGGGAAATACCCTTATTTTTCATATGCTACAATTGACAAATCTTAGTGTTAATAAGGAAAATCAATAGGACATTTGTGTACTACTTTGTGGTGTGCTTTTAATCCTATCAACATCTTCACCACTCAGCAGTCACCCACCTCCAGAGAGGAATTGCAGGTCTAGGTGTGGTGAGAAGTAGAGCAAGGAAAAGGGTACACTCCAATAGTGTTGTCTAAGAGAACATTGGTGTAGAAGAAAGTGGTGAAGAACAATTCCCCCGCGCATGCACACCACCTGTTTGATCAAATGTGTAGCTGAAATTTGCAAAATTATTGGCTTATAACTCTGGCTCCAGGTCGTGGGTTCTTACTAACTCCAGCTTCCGTGCTGTGAGTTTTATACTTATTCTGATATCTCTACTGTGAGTATTTGTGGGTTAGGTGGTCTTTCTTTTCAAAGTTCATATGGATATCGAGGAAGAGATGATGGAC